CACTTTCATTTTGAACTAGCTGGAAATTATTTAAGCAGAGTGTGAAATTACATCATTTAATTGAAAAAAAAATCTGCTCTAATTTATTAACCAAGATCTGAGTAAAGAAAGCTTAAACTACTAAAATCAGTATCTCAAATAGATATCTACATTCCTTTTTATTGCAACATTATTCACATTAGTGAAGATATGGGAACAACCTATATGTCCACTGTAAACAAGTAAAGAAAATGTCGCACACACTCACACACACACACGCAACCCCATCAAAACGGAATAGGATATTATACAGTCTTTTTATTTATTTATTTATTAAATATTTACTTATTTATTTATTTATTTATACAAGTACTGGGTACAGTCAGAAGCGCAGGAGGGTGAGAGAATTCACCAGAGCCATAGCGGTGAGCAGAGCAGGCAGAAGGACCGAAGTACACTGCTGAGGGGAGCAGCGGGCGGCAGGAGAGGTCTATGTGCCATGTGGGACCCTCTTCCAGTGGCCGGGGAGCAGCCGGGGATCGAACCAGCGTCGCAGAGGCTGCGGGCAGCTTCGCAACCCAGCGCTCAACCGTTGCGCGCCACCGGGGAGGCCCTATACAGTCTTTTAAATGAAGAAAACTTATCATGTGTGATGACATGAATGGACTCGGCCAAAACTGTGATAAGTAAAATTAAGCCAGACAGAAAGAGCAATAGTCATGAGCTTATGAAATATACAAGAATAAGACTCATGGAAGCAGAATAAAAAAGTGGTTGCGAGAGCCTGGAGGAGGTGTGTTTGTACTTCCATCTTGCTCTAAGTGCAATTAATTATACTTTTCCATGTGTCTTCAAGTGCACTATACACTTTCATTTTGAACTAGCTGGAAATTATACAAGTAGAGTGTGAAATTACATCATTTAATTGAAAAAAAATCTGCTCTAATTTATTAACCAAAATCTGAGCAAAGACAGCTTAAACTACTAAAATCAGTATCTCAAATAGGTATCTACATTCATTTTTATTGCAACATTATTCACATTAGTGAAGATATGGGAAAAACCTATATGTCCACTGTAAACAAGTAAAGAAAATGTTACACACACACACACACACACACACACACACACGCGCAACCCCATCAAAACGGAATAGGATATTATACAGTCTTTTAAATGAAGAAAACTCATCATGTGTGATGACATGAATGGACTCAGACAAAATTGTGATAAGTAAAATTAAGCCAGACAGAAAGAGCAATAGTGCATGAGCTTATGAAATATACAAGAGTAAGACTCATGTTAGCAGAATAGAAAAGTGGTTGCCAGAGTCTGGAGGACGAAGACATAGGAAGAAGTTGATCAAGGGGTATGACCTTTCAGTTACACAAGATGAAATTCTGGAAATCTATATAAAAATTTAAGTAAAGTTAATACTGTATTGTAGAGTTGAAATTTACTAAGAGGGTAGATATACAGCGCTCTCATCACAACAAAAATAAAATAGCAACTCTGTGAATCATGGAAAATGTTAAATAGCTTGATTGTGGCAATTATTCCACACACCTAGTTATATCAAAATATTAACATACATACTTTAAATACATGCAATTTTACTTGCTCATTATATTTCAGGAGGAAAAAAAATAGCTTTTAAAATGAAACATTTTAAATGACTGCCAATTAAATGCCATGCCCTCACTGATCTAGCTCTCAAGATAGCAATACTGCCTTCCCAATAAAGGTTTAATATTGATCAGAAATAGACTCTATCTGTGATATGAGTCAACAGGGAAGCTATGAATATATCACAGTCCACACAGTGCTGGCACCCAGGAATACACATGACATCGACTTTCTTAACAGGAAAATGGGATGCTCGTGTGTTTAGGTTCTAAGTGCAGGGAATACAATTCCCTACTCAAAAAAAAAAAAAAAAACATATGGGTGTTTCTCAAACCTGTCTCTTCAGACTACCTGCTTCCAAGACAAAACCTTTCCATCAAAAGAGCTAATTAAATCCTAGGGGAGAAAACAGCAGCTACAAGACAAGGTCCCCGAACCTTTATAGAAACCTTTCTAAAATCTATAAAGGCAAGTGAACATGTGTTTGGGTGCTATTCACATCTCTTTCTGGGCAGAGGGGGTCTTCTGAATGTATCTTCTCCACACTGTCTGCCTTTTTTCCTGCAGGACCACAGTTATGAATAGAGGATGATTCGCCATAGTGCTTCCAGGGAATGCATGCTAAATCCAAAACTAACAGTGAGTTCCAAAAAAAGTTTTGAGGCTCTGGGCTCTATGAAATGGTTCAGACTCATGAGATTTTGTTTTTTTAAAATAGGTTTACTAAGGTATCAGTGATACACTCCCCAAAAAACTGCACATGTTCAATGTATACAACCTCTTAACAAATGCAGATTTGACAGCGAATCATCTGAAAAGGTTCTTCCCACGGGTGACTTATCTTTTCATAAGAAAAGCTACTTATCACAAGTTTCAAGGAGAAATTATTTCTGAACACCCCCCAACATCTCTAAAATCATCTAAAGCAGCTAAGGTAAGTTTTCATAGTGCTGATACTTGTTAAAGGTTACTACTTTCCATATGTAATCACTATTTTTTAAAGATTTATTTATTTATGCATACAAGAGCTGGGGTAGAGGCCAGAGGTGTGGGGGGTGAGAGGATTCAACAGAGACAGAGTGGGGAACAGAACAGGCAGATTGACGGAAGTATACTGCTGAGGGGAGCAGTTGGCGAGTCAGGAGCCGTCTGCTGTGCCATGTGGGTTGCTACCTGGCTGGCTAGGGATTGAACTATTGCTGCAGTGGCTGTGGAGAGCTTCACAGTTCTGCGTCTGTAACCCTTGCGCCACCAGGGAGGCCCTGTAATCACTATTTTGAACACTTTACAGACATATATAGTGATAGAGCATTTTATTCTCAGCACAGTTCTTGAAAAGATAATTCATAAATACTACTAACCTAATTTGATAGTCAAAAATTTTGAGACTCATAGTAATTAAGTAAATTGTAGTCCCCAGCTCTCTGACACCAATTCTCAAGTACCACACTTTTTCTGAAATACCTTCTTTAGTAATTATTACTCGTAATAAGGATGAAACAAAATTCAATTATATTTCACATACATAATAGGGAAAAAAGTTTATTAAATGATATAAATAATCAAATGTTTCATCCAGATACAAACACTGAGAATCCTCCCTGAGATAAACAGCTACAGATATGAGAATTCCTATTGCCTCTTTGAGTGTAAAATTGGTGATGATTCTTTTTGTGTTTATGGTCTGGTTAAATATTTCTCTGTGTTATTGCTCAGTGTTTGTCCTTCCTATAACATTACGTCTGTACACAGTCATAAAAATAAATGAGTAAATAAATGAGTCCTTTTTTATGTGTCCACAACATATTGTGATCATCTGCATACATGTTCCATCAAATTATTCACATAACAAACCATGAGGTGGTATTATCATGCTACTTTTAGAGATGCAAACATAAGGCTATAAAACCTCAGATAACAGAGTTGCAACTGAAAGAACAAGATTCTAATCTGTTCTTTCTGATTCTCAAACAATACTCAACCAATGACAGTCTTTTTCAATACTTTGCAGAAGAATCTGGGGACCATGGTTTGGACTGGCATTAAAGAAGGTAGAGTTGAATCCGTGGGAGAGATCAAAGTAGAAAAACTATTCAGTAAAAACAATACCACATATTAAAACCTATTTGGTAGTTTAAAGGTGTCATCGTATGTATCTCTGTGTGTGCGACATATTTGTGTCTGCTGATGAATTGTTCCATAAAAACTTACTTCTATGGGCCTCCCCTGCTGGTGCAGCGGTTGAGCACTGGGCTGCAAAGCTGCCCGCAACATCTGCAGTACCCATTCGATCCCTGGCCACAAGCAAGAGTCCTACATGGCAAGCAGACCTCTCCTGCCGTGCCCACTGCTCCCCTCAGCAGTGTATTTCATGAGTCTGCCTGTTCTGTTACCCGCTCTGGCTCTGATGAATTCTCTCACCCTCCTGGACTTCTGACTGTACCCAGTGCTTGTATAAATAAATAAACAAATCTTTAAAAAAAAAAAAACTTACTTCTGAAATAAATTAAAATTATAATTACCAGTCACATAATGAGCCTCAACCCAAGACATGAAAACATTTTAAATAGAGTAATATCCAAGATTCCCTTTTCTTCAAATTCCTTTTTATCCTTCCATCCATATTGTCATTAATTCCCCAAGACTCCCAATTTTCTAGTGATTAAATGAAAAATTCCATAGCTTTATACCCAAGGGCTTTGTGTCCATCTTCCACATCTCTTTTCAGACTTAGCTATCACTGTATGCAAGTGATTACTTCAAGTTAGGTTATAATCAAGTTATCTCCACTGATTAAAGTCTCCTACTTGTGTGTTTACAAAATTTCCTCCTGAATATACTTTTAACAGAATCTTCACTTGTAAGGCAATTTGAGTAATATTCCACAACGCATAACCTTTTTTGCTTTTTTTTTTGAAGATTTATTTATTTATTTATACAAGCACTGGCTACAGTCAGAAGTGCGGGAGGTTGAGAGAATTCACCAGAGCCAGAGCAGGGAACAGAAAGGCAGACCAACAAAATACACTGCTGAGGGGAGCAGCAGGCGTGGCAGGAGAGGTCTGTGCGCCATGTGGGACCCTCACCCGTGGTCGGGGATTGAACCGGTGCTGCAGAGGCTGAAGGCAGCTTCGCAGCCCAGCACTCAACTGCTGTGTCACTAGGGGAAGCCCAACCTTTTTTGATTTCTAGAAACAAAAATCTCAAAAGAATTGACCAATGCTGTAAACTAATATTAACTCAATAAAAAAGACTTAAAAAAAAAAAGAATTGACAACTCAGTAGAATCCAGGTGTTTACTACTTACTAAAATGTAGAAGTTTAATACTTCCAAGGTTCATTAATTAAAAAACTTTGTGTTTTCAGGTCATTTAATTAATCATCACATAAAACGCATGGAGATTAGGAACAACGTGACAGAGTTTGTCCTACTGGGACTCACAGAGAATCCAAAGATGCAGAAGATCATATTTGTTGTATTTTCTCTCATCTACATCATCACGGTGGTGGGAAATATGCTCATTGTGATCACCATAAATGCTAGCCCATCATTAGGGGCACCAATGTACTATTTCCTGGCCCATCTCTCCTTCATTGATGCCTGCTACTCCTCTGTCAGCACTCCCAAACTGATCATAAATTCGCTCTATGAAAAGACCATCTCATTCAAAGGATGCATGAGCCAAATATTTTGGGAACATTCATTTGGAGGCAATGAGGTCATCCTGCTCACGGTGATGGCTTATGACCGCTACGTGGCCATCTGTAAGCCCCTGCACTACACGACCATCATGAACTGGCAGGTATGTGGCCTGCTAGTGGGAGTCGTATGGATGGGAGGCATAATTCATGCCACCATACAGATCCTCTTCATCTTCCGACTGCCCTTCTGTGGTCCTAATGTCATAGATCACTTTATGTGTGATCTGAATCCTGTGCTCAATCTTGCCTGCACTGATACCCACACTCTAGGACTATTTGTTGCTGCCAACAGTGGGTTCATTTGTCTGTTAAACTTTCTCCTCTTGTTGGTCTCCTATGTGGCCATTCTGTGCTCTCTAAAGCACCACAGCTTGGAGGCAAAGCGCAAAGCCCTCTCCACCTGTGGCTCCCACATCACAGTGGTCATCATGTTCTTTGTGCCCTGCACATTTATGTACTTGAGACCCGCAGCTACTCTGTCCATTGATAAAGCAGTTGCTGTGTTCTACACCATGATAACTCCCATGTTAAATCCCTTAATCTATACCTTGAGAAATGCCCAGATGAAAGATGCCATGAAGAAATTGTACAGTAAGAAAGCTATTTCAGGTGACAAATAAGTGTATTTGGAGCACACAATTGATTCAACTGAAGCAAGAGTCCAAAATACATGGCGAATGATCTCAGCAAGGAATATCTATGGGATATGTCAGGTGGTGCAAGGGGATAAGATGCAGTACTATGAAGCTATCCGCAGCCTCTGCAGCACGAGTTCTATCCCCAGTCTGCCAAAGAGCTACCCACATGGTGCAGCAGACCTCTCCTGTCTTACCTGCTGCTCCCCTCAGCAGTGTATTTTGGTCAATATGCCTGTACTGTTCCCCACTCTGTCTCTGCTGAATCCTCTCACCCACACCCCCACACCTGTGGCCTGTACCCCAGTTCTTGCATACCAAATAAATAAATCTTTGAAAAAAAAAGAATATCTATGGGATTAAGAAATAGCTCAATGCAATGGAGGGAGAAAAAAAAAGAGCATGCCAGAAAGAGAAAAGCATCCTCCACATCATCTAGAGACTGCATATTTAGAATATACTACCAAATGGGGTTTAGTTTTACTAAGTCATCCATGCATACAGATTCACAGTCTTGCTTTCTAATAAAAGTAAAAGCAATAATGAAATATATTGTAACTAGCATAATCTCTGTAACAATCATATGAGATAGGCAATGTTCACGCCCCTACTTCAAGTGAAGAAACTGACAAAAAATATAAGGTGCCAAAAGCAGGTATATCAAAGAACAAGTAATCAAAATCTGATATCCCAGACTGTGGTCTCACCAGCTATAATACACTGTCAAGTAATGATTATGTGAGTTATAAGATAATTGTACTAGTTACCTTTTTTTGAGCAAGAGATTGTTAGTTTATTATCTATAACTAAAATACCAATCATTTGTCGTTAATAACTTCATTTTTAGATATCATAGTAGTATAACAATATATTTCTTGTATCTTTATAGCATATAACTATTTTAGAGTTTAAAGTAATGGGCTATTGAACCTATGTAACCACTTAATGAAAATTACAACATTTTTCAAATTCCTTGTAGATTTCAGAATGCTTCGGTATTGTTATGTATCTCAGGCTGCTAATCTATCAGGAAGAGCTGAAAAAGAAAATCTCAATGTCAAACACGAATTTCTATTAAATATACAATTATACTCAATAAAAATTTTGCCTACTCTTTAACAATATTTCAATAAGGTATCACAATGTGCATGATAATATTGAGCTAAAGTATATAGTAAAGTAAAATATCACTGAAATACAGAGCACAAAGATAATACTGGGGGCTAGAGAATTCTTTCATACCTTTATATGTATCGAATGTTGAGGAGCATTCTAGTTTGATGTTTCGCGAAACCACAATTTGTTTTCACCCTTTTCAAAAATGAGGATGAGAGAGAAATTAAAACAGACTCTCAGCAAATCACTACCTATATGCAATCATTTACCTCGATACTTTCCCTGCCTTCAGCAAGATTTTATTATCCCATGAATATGAATTGCTTGGTATATTACTCTGTAATTTATTTTATTTGGGGATAACATTTCATTACTAACAGCTATTTTTAGAAATATGCAGCTCCATCTGCACAGCAAACAATTTAAGGTACTAAGGTACTATGTACTAAGCAACAAATATTTTGAGCCTTAGGAATATATCAGACTCATTGATAATTGCTGGGACTTGTGTGGGTCCTCCCTTCACAGACTAATGGATCCACTGAAAGAATCCCAGAAAAGAGTAGAAAACGACAACAGTATTGTAAACAGCAGCACAGCAGAAACACAGCGTACTATAAGAGCACACTGAGAAGGAACCATGACCTCTCAGGTGAGGAGAGACTTCCTAGAAGAAAAGAAAGCAAATACAGGACCCAGAAGAAGTCTGTTGGCAAAGCAAATGGCCATGAGATGATGGGAGAGTCCTAGGAGAAGGAAGCCATAGTACATGCCAGGTGGTGAAAAAAAGAGTATGCAGGACACCTGACCAATTCCACTGGCTTTATTGTTCATCTGGTTGGCATTATTAATTCATCTAAGTCACCATCACTTGTTGAACCTCCATGTCATGCTAGGTACCAAGCAGGATACTGAGTTTGCAAAAGGGTAAATAGCAAGAGATGAAGTTGGAGCATTCTGAACAGGGAAGATAAAAAAGGGCCTCATAATAGTGTCCAAGCTGAAAGCTAAGTACCGTTCAAAGAGCTGTGTAAGCTTGTGAGTTACGCAGCTTGTCTTGAATGTTAGAGTGAAATATGGGAAATGATGGAATGAGACAAGACTGGTGGCAGAGGAGCAGTTAGGTTACTATAATGATTTGGGTGTACAAGGATGGAGGCCTGAACTCTGGGGGTGCCAATGGTGATGCAGTGTGGAGAATACTGCTTAGTCCAGTTCACCTCCTTCAATGGGCCAGGGCACCTACACACCAGTTGTTACGTGCCTGGATGGCTAACAGCCCACAGATCCAGTCCTCTCTGGACAAAGGTGCCAGGAAATCAGGGTGCTTGTGTCCACCACTTCAGTGACCACCTGTGATCTCTCACTAGCTACCACAGGGGTTAAAGAAACAAGGCTGGTCCCCTTTCTCTTGAGGTGTAAGTAATACAAATTATTCTCTGGAGCTCCCCTGCTCCAGGTGAAGGCAGACTCTAATGGAGGCCATGTCCTTTTTTCTCCCTTACAATAATTGAGTTTACATTATCACTTATTTTTATACATTGCATTCATAAAAATTTAAATTTAAGAATGTTTTTTAAAGATTGATTTATTTATTTATACAGCACTGGGTACAGTCAGAAGCGCAGAAGGGTGAGAGAATTCTCCAGACCCAGAGCAGGGAGCAGAACAGGTCGACCGACGAAATACACTGCTGAGGGGAGCAGCGGGCACGGCAGGAGAGTTCTGCGTGCCATCTGGGACCCTCGCCGGGAAGCCAGGGATCGAAGCAGTGTTGCAGAGGCTGTGGGCAGCTTCGCAACCCAGCGCTCAACCGCTGCGCCACTGGGGAGGCCCAAATTTAAGAAATTTACATTTAAATTTTTAAGCACACTCATAAAAACCCCCATCTCAGAGTCTGCATCCAGGAAACACAAACATATAGAAAGTGTTCAAGAAATAAATGTATGCATTATATCCTAAAGAACTTGGTATAAGATCACAATTAGAGGGAAATAAAAATCATGGATGAAATGCAGGTGTTGACATAAATCACTGGCTGGATTAGGAAACTGAGGAAATGGACCACAAAAATGAGCAAGGAGAAGAGGCAAAGATTCTCTCACCCCACAGCAGCCTCCCCCTCTGAAGGAAAGGCCCTACTCTGCCTGAGCAAACTGGAAGGGTTTCCTCTAAGGCTGCTTCCCTGTAGGACATGCTGGTGCCCCACACTTCCCTTTTTGCTTCTAGACCCATAACTAGATTCAAGTCCCAGCTGATCCCTACAAGTAGGTGCAAGGTACAACCTAGAAGAAGGTTGTAATTTTCTAATGTATAGACAGAAAACCAGGGAATGTGTATTCAAATGGATCTTATGGATGTAGGATAGCAGGGAAAGCAACACACTCTTGCACCAGGCTGAATTTATTGATAGGGGCCCACTGCACAGAGATTGGACTTAGTTGTTGCAGCTCAGGGAATAAGAAATAGCTCTGGCAGGTTGTTTAGTCTGTTGACATGGACACCACAGTCAGTGAATTGAGAGGGCCCAACCTGCCTTGGTTTAATACAGAGGAAGGGGGGCCTCCCTGGTGGTGCAGTGGTTGAGCGCTGGGTTGCGAAGCTGCCCGCAGCTTCTGCAGCGCCGGTTCGATCCCAGGCCACAGGGTGAGGGTTCTAAATGGAGCGCAGACCTCTCCTGCCACCCGCTGTTCCCCTCAGCAGTGTACTTTGTCACTCTGCCTGCTCTGCTTTCCGCTCTGACTCTGGTGAATTCTCTCACCCTCCTGCACTTCTGACTGTACCCAGTGCTTGTATAAATAAATAAATAAAACTTTAAAAAAAATAATTAATACAGAGGAAGGAATGCCAAGACTAAGGGAGACTGTAACATTGGAGTATATTTGTTATGTCACACGTATTCACCCACCATGGGAGGATCAAGAATCACAAACATGGTGTAAGGTAGTAGCCAAGCTTCATTCTTTTGCATGTAGCAACCAGTTTTCCCAGCAACATTTATTGAACCCACTTTCTTTGCTCCATTGCATATTCTTTGTTCCTTGTCAAAGATTAGTTGACTGTAAATCTGTGGGTTTATTTCTGGATTTTTTATTCAGTTCCATTGGTCCATGTGTCTGTTCTTGTTCCAATACCATGCAGTTTTGATTATTATGGCTTTGTAGTCTAGTTTGATATCTGGGCATGTGATGCCTCCATTCCCTTCTTTTTTTATTCAGGAGAGCTTTGGCTATTTGGGGTTTTTGGTGGCTCCATATGAATTTCATCAATATTTGTTCTATTTCTTTTATAATGTCATTGACATTTTTATTGGAATAGCATTCAATCTGTAAATTGCTTTTGGTAGGATGGCCATTTTAATAATGTTAATTCTTCCAATCCATGAGCAGGGGATGTCTTTCCGTTACTTTGTGTCTTCTTCTATTTCTTTGGGCGGCGTTTTATAGTTCTTTGTATAGGTCCTTTACCTCTTTTGTTAGGTTTATTCCCAAGTATTTGATGTTCCTTGTTTCAATAATAAAAGGGATGGCCATGAGTTCAATCCCTAGCCAGCAAGCTACCACAATTGGTGCAGCAGACCTCTCCTGAATCACCTACTGCTCCCGTCAGCAGTGTATTTCACTAGATCTGACTGTTCTGCTCCCCACCTTGTCTCTCGCGAATCCTCTCACCCCTAGCACCTCTGGCCTACACCCAGTTCTTGTATGCATAAACAAAAATAAAACTTTAAAGAAAAACAGAATTTCGTTCATGAACCATAACTTTTCCTACTTACCCATCTGGAAACTCCTCCACTTTCTCAAAAAAAGAAAAAATGTTATTGTTGCCTTCTCTCAATCTCACAGGTTGTGGTAAATGCCTATTGTTGC